TTGATATATACCTGTTTAATCTCCCACTTTTCAAGGTCAGTTATCTTGGCGAGCCGTTTGCGTTCTGTTGGGTTTTCCTCTACTTCCAGCACGCTGGCTTCAACAGGGCGGTCAGGGTTCCTCATGGCTCGTCTCCAGCTCCAGGGTCCAGGTTCCGTCTCCGGTTGGGGTTCAGGTCCTCCCCTGTCTCCTGGTCCACATCCTGGCAGCATTTGAGAAACCAGTTATTTTACTGAACGTAAGTGATATGCATGCATTAGTTTAACACGTTAAACAAATATATTTGTAATGCACTGTAACCAGCAGGTTGCTGTTTTCACTATGCTACATTTAGTTTCCTTCCTTTTTATTTTTTAAGTGCACAAGCTTGTTGCTTGCTCTCGCCCACTGCTTGCATTCTTTTGCTAATATTCTTGTTTTTGTTTCTGCTAGCAGCTTAATGACTTTACTGAACTACTATCTTTAATCTGATGTTGAATGTGTGGTTGTTGTTGGTGATGTTACCTTCCATGTTGGCAACCCACAGAAAAAAAGAGACTAAAGAACTGTGCTGAGTTCTTGATTATTATGGACTGACTCAGCATGTGACAGAGCCCACACACATAAGGAGCACACTCTGGACTTAAACATCTCTCAGGATCTGAATATTTCCAAGGTTATGGTGACTGACGTTGCTCCCGCTGATCATTCCTGTGTTTTCTTTGAAAGTGCTATCTCCGTGCACATGAACGTTCAAACAGAGGTATTCACAAAACGCCGTATCACTGAAAACACAAGTGAAATATTTATTTAGGCTTTCTCTTCCACACCTGCCCTCTCGTGGGACTCAGTCAATGAGCTTGTAGATCATTTCAATTCAAAGATTACAAAAGGTCACTGATGCCATTGCACCCTCTAAGGTGAAGGCGATCTCTGGTAAGAGAAGATCTCCATGGAGAGATGCCACACTGGGAAGAATTAAAAAGAAAGTGTTGAAAAACTGAAGGCTGGTGGTGGAAAAACATATCTCCAGGTTCATAAGGACATCTATAATTCGCATTTATGATTTAGAACTGAGAAATCTGACATCATTGCCAAAAACAACTATCCTAACTGTTCTAACAATCCTCCTGTGTCAGTAGCTTCTAAACCTCCTAAATTCCTCCTTCTTCACTGAAAACATTTTAAAAATTAGACAGGCAGTCACTACCTCCAAATCAGGTACAGGATATGCGTTATCCTTGTGTCCACAAATCAATTCAAAAAGCATGACACAATTTGATCCCATCAGTCAAAAAAAACCTTATACAACATCTGAAATCCTCCTGCTGCTGCCTTCAACTTCTGCCAAGGCTTTTTCAAAAATACTTCTAATTTCATGGCCTCAGATTTTCTACAAATTTTAAACACTTCTCTTCTCTCGGGTTTCTTCTCACATGCCCTGAAAACTGCAGTCATCAAACCACTCTTAAAAAAGAACAATCTAGACAAGTCACTAATTAGCAATTATAGACCCATATCAAACCTCCTGTTTTTAAGTAACAATAATTAGAAAATCTATTCTGCTGAGCAACTTATTGGCACTAAACAACTGTTTTGATGTCTTCCAGTAAGGATTTCAATCACACCACAGCACTGAGACTGCTTATTAAGGTCTTCAGTGATATCCATTTAAACAGAGAGTGGCAGATTTTCAGTCATGGTATTACTGGATCTCAGTGCTGCATTTGAAACAGTCTACCACATCATATTACTAGACTTACTGGAAAACTGGTTGGGACTTTCTGGCACAGTACAAATTTACATAACCATTTGGAGCCATGGAAGAACGATTAAACGTCAGCAATCTTAAAAACCACAAACCAAGACAGAAATGTTGGTGCAGTCATGGACTGACATGAATTTCAACAGCCACATTAAGATAATTACAAAGTCAGCCTACTATCACCAGAATGGTATATCAAGAATTAAAAAGTCCTGGCCTGTCTCAGCAGGATTTAGAAAAACTTGTCAATGCATTTTTCTTTTGCTGCTGCTTTTTATTAAGACAAATTTGAAGTTAAGATCTTACTTAAACTTTATATTCTATTTAACTCCTTTTTTTACATCTATCACAGCAAATGGATTTCTCTCGCTTCCTTACGGTGTTGTGTTCAACCCAACTTTTCTTCCACCACTTTATACATGACTCACCTTCATGCTAAGGCTGGCTTTGGTTCCAGTGAATGACAGCACTTTGATCTTCACCTTTTGGCCTTTGGTCACCACATCAGCCACATTGGCTATACGTCCTTCTTTGCGCAACTCTGAGATGTGCACCAGGCCTTCCCAGCGTTTTCTGCAGACAATGACAGTTATACACTACAGGTCAGTATTAGGGTGCAAACCCCAAAAGAACATTATAGGCAGACACTCGCCAAAACCAATCTGAATGCAACATAACATGCGAGGAAAAACAAAAACACGATCTGAATTAATCTAAATTTATTAGAAACACTAAAATCTACATTATAAGAAGTAGGCTACAAGACAAACAAGCACACTGAAATCCTAAAAAACTAAATATTAAAATAGATTTTGTCTTACTGTATTGCTGTGCAGGACAGTAAAGATGCCATTTATCTTACTAACCTGAGGCCCTCTAGTTGCACAAAACAGCCAAACTGCATAATACTGCTGATTTTGCCATTGTAGATGTCGCCCACAACAGGCTCTTCTGGCGGAGGCCGATCCACAAGTCTATCATTCCAGCGATTAGAGTCTTTGTCATCCTTGTTGTTGTTGTTGTTGTCATCGTCTCTGTGTGGGCTCGGTGGACGGTCACTCCAGCGAGACACCCGTTTCCTTCTGCGCTTGGGGTTCGTTTGTCCGTCACGATCTCTTGATCTGGAGCGAGAACGACTTCGCTTACGTCCGCCTTCTCTGTCTGTGTCTCGACCTCCTTCTCTGTGCAAAGGCTCGGCTGACCTGAGAAAAACAGAAGTCCAATTTTTACTCCCAGTGAGAGCCGCTTCTTTTCCAGGCAGGTATCCACTTTTAGGACAAAACCCTTTTTTAAATTACCCATTATCAGAGCTTTCCCACAGAAGTTAGGCATGAGCATCTCCAGCTCCTTCATGGCTGCTGCAGCGACTTGCTCATCATCTTTATCTGTGTGGCATGGTGGAATCTGAAGGAGAGGTAAAAATTTGTGACAATATATCCACAACCTCATGAAGTTTACAAACTGCAGTAGCTCCTGAAATGTGCTATTCTTGCCATTGCTGATTTTCCCACTGACAAAGAGACTTTAGAGGCTTCCCGGAAGTTACAAAAGGTTTAAATAAAAAAGAAAGAAGAAGAAACTGTCATTAAATGAGCCTTACCATCCACACAGAAGCATCTGGTTTACATAAGGCAGGGTATTTCTTTTTCATCTTGTCCTTCTCACTCTTTGTCTTGGCCTCTGGCTGATGAGCTGTCATACACAATAGAGAACAGATTATTTGACAATAGTCCTGTAAACCTAAGGTATTAAAATATATTAAAAGGTCCCTGTACCTTCACTTGTTGACGGTATGGCTCGCATCCTCTGAATGAGTCTAAGCAAATTACCAATGAGGGTATCCTGAAAAAATAAATGGGTTTAGTGAGAAAACACAATGCAGCAGCAGCAGCAGCAACAAAGAAAATGTGTTTGTTTAGTTGCAGGCTTACTGTAAAATCTGCTCCATTTTCAGACAGAACTGCTTTGAATTCCTCAAATGTTGGGTGTTTTTCTGCCAGACTGATTATGAATTCAGCTGCAAAACAGCAACTGGTGTTTAACGTTAACCATCCACGCACTTTGAGACACTGGTACAGTCAACATTATATCATGCCTGTTTCTTATCAACGTGAATGAGAAAACAATGCTGCCATGCAACGTAACGTTACCCAGATCTTTCTCGCTTATTCCCAGATGATTCTCCAGCTCCGTGCACACCTTTGACACCAAAGATAAATATTCAAGACGTTTAATTTCGTCTGAAGTAGCCATTTCTCTTGTTTATTTTGACCTGACCAGGAAGCGGTTGTACTTCTTTAGTTTGAGCTCCAGCGACGTGTTTCAGCGCTGCTGCCCCCTAACGGCCAACACGCAGATACAACTGTTCACACATTAAAACCACTCAAGTTCGTCCAAAGACACTAATATTGTACTCCACGACATGCATTTCATGGCTACAGTAACTTTTACATACAAAACATTTATTCTCCTTCAAACAGCTGCAACATTAATATGATGCTTATGCATGAATGAATCAGCATAAACAATTTAAACAGGGAGATATTTCCATATAGTAAGGGCTTTTAGTTTTGACATGTTGAGTATTTTGTGTCACATTACTATTTTTATTTAAGCAAGGTTTCTGCATTCTTCCTCAAATTATATATATTGTGGCTAGATTTGAACAGAGTACAAGCTCAAATGGACATGCGCGCCATAAAGTTGCTCACTTTTGGATTGGATTTCATCAGTTTGGGCACTTGCATTGCAATCTGTTTTTTGGGGGGTCTGGTCCATTTTTCATCTGTTTGGAGCAGGTACCGGAGACATTGGTTTATTGGTACTATTTTTATGTGAACCAGACAAGCAACCATAACACAATGCTATGACTGCAGTAGGCAGTTATACTAGTTTCATATTTTACTATATCCATAGACAATCTTACGATTTAACATATTATATAAACATTCAAACCTATTGGTCTGGTTTAAAAGTATTTTAGAAATGTTCCCATTCAAATGTATGTATGTATGTGTGTGTGTGCGAGCTACATCACCACAATCTCTCTCTCAGAACAATAAAGTATAGTAGCCTCTGTATCTACTAAAAGTTCACAACAAAATCACAGGCTTAAGAAAATTTAGCATTTAATGAAGACACATTTTCATAGTTCCACTAGCAAGTATAGCAAAGCAACAGTCTCAAATACAGACACATACAGTCCCAGTTATAGTACAAACTCTAACATACGTTATATGCTGTTCCATTCTTATGGTCTGACACCATAGTATGAACGACTGAAACATACAGGCCCATTTCGATTCAATCAAGTCCTTATTTGGCATAACATTATGCTATTGTAATTTACAGAGTCAAAATAAATAGTCCACTGTGCTGCAGAATCTCCTCAAAGATCTTCTTTAAAACTACAGTCTCGAGGGACAGATATGGAAGTTTGCTTTTTGTTTTTGTATTAGTGAATGAAAAGTAATGCTCCAGGTTTTCTAAAATAATGACACTAAAATTTCCACCTAAACTCAAACAGACGAATTTAGGATCAGCTGTGGGGAAATGTATAAATGTTTACATGTTTCAAAAGGAGTGATGATAAAACCTTTAACCACCAGAATGTGATCACATGTCCAGTGCTGATACAGGACAATGCATTCAACTTCATCACTGTCAAAGCCTTTCCGTTTTGCATTTGTGACGTCACACATATCAACGCCGTCTGAAGGCACGAGAGATTCTCCATGCGTTGGGTTCCTCGTAACGGTTGTACAGAGGCTCGAGGCGCTGTTGTTTCTTCTGCTTGCTGAGGCGTGTGGGGTCGGACACTTTGAAGAAAGCAGGTGAAAACTCCACCAGCCATCGAGGGTCGATGGTAGTCACCTCCCGCATGTACTCCTTGGTAGTCAGCACCAATTCGTGGTAAACAACCCTGTGGATAAGAGAAATGAATTATTATAAAAAAGGGCCTTTATTTCTTCTTTGAATGCTAAAAAGGTTGAGCTGAGGTGCTGTCGTACCACTCAGGCTGGCGATTGAAGAGAGCACTGGAGGGGTGGATGTATACAACTTGCTGGTCTATAAGGGTGCGGTAGCCCTCTTGAGGATCCTTTTTGGCAGCATTACGAAAGAAGCCACTGCAGATTGCTTTCTGGACCCGTACTGTGGCTTTGCCACAAGACACCACATCCAGTTTATGCCTGAAGAGAAGCAAGCATGTTGAAGGTTCATGAGAAACCAGAAAGATATGATCATTATTTCATGCGTTGTGATTCTGCTATTTGGTCATCTTGACAATTATACCTGTCCATGATCCCCAGCATCTGTTTGCGGATGTCTTGGGCTCTGCGCAGGGAGCGAGCCTGAATGAAGTTCTCATAACACCAGGGGTTGGAGAACTTGTTGTTCTTCCAGGAGTTGTAGACAGCCAGCAGCGTAAGGTGATCACCCTCTGGTTGGTGAAACTTTGCCTTCTTCTGGTCAGCCAAAGCCTGCTTGTCCTTTAACACAAGAAAAAGAAATATACAAATGGGAAAATGAAGAACAATCAAGGCACCGTATGGATCTTTACACAGGGGAATTAAGATCAGATGATGAGTGGACAAACTGTCACGAGTTGATGAATAAACTCAAGTAGAATTCTAAGAAGCAAAGAAAGGGATTATTTATTTTAATTTTTTGTTAAAATGTTTTTTCCGCAAACAAATATATATGCTAACCCATCTGTATTTTCTTTTATAATAAACCATAAGTTATTTTTACATTATGTATACACAGAGCAAAACTCATTCATGTAAATATCTCTTTATTATTAGTTCCCATGGACTGTGACAAGCACTGCTATGTTGTATCCCTAATCCACAAAAATGAAAAACAGTCCACTCACAAGATGTCTATGAAGATTCTCAGTCATCCAGGTCATAGTTATCCAACGAAGGTTAAAATGAAGGGCAACTGGACTTGGTTGAAGCTACTGGAAGACGTTTCGTCCCTTATCCAAAGGACTTCTTCAGTTCTGAACTGAAGAAGTCCTTTGGATAAGGGACGAAACGTCTTCCAGTAGCTTCAACCAAGTCCAGTTGCCCTTCATTTTAACCTTCGTTGGATAGTCCACTCACAAATACATACTTTTAATTCATACTGAATATAAAGTGTAGTGGGGGGCATACCTTAGGTCTGTAGAAGACGTTCTGCACAGACAGCATTGACACGATGGTGAGCATCTCTTCACTGCAGCCCAGATGGACAGACATGATCAACATCTTACACAGCATTGGCTCCAGAGGAAACTCAGCCATCTACAAGACAGATAATTGTAGAGATACTTAAAAAAAAGACGACAAGGGGGAAGTGAAAGGCATTATAAAAAAAACAAAGTAACCACACAGTGACACATCATGAAATGTGATCTGATTTATTCTCTTCCTCTTTACAGATGAGGAAAACCACCAAGTAAAAGCACTCCTCACCCTTCTACCCAGCCGTGTGAGTAAACCTTCATCATCCAGAGCTCCCAGAGTGTAGAGCTGCTCCATGGCTGTGATCAGAGTCTCCATGGGAGGAGCGTCCATGAAGTCAAAAGACAGGAGGTCATTGATGCCCATTGCCTAGTGGACGAAACATAAATTAGGGAAAAAGTGACACCAATGTAGTATGTTTTTTTTTTTTATGAAAACCTAAACTGAAGACCGCAAAAGTTTAGCTGCAACTTTTTTTGTTTTACTATACTCAAATGTTGCTGCATTGCAAACTTTTATACAAGAGATTAATCTTAAAACTGTAATTGCTTATTTTATCTAAATGATAAGTGGCATTATACTAGAACCTTATTTTGAAAACAAATTCCTGTATACACATTGTCTGTGACTTCACTTAAGTACACTCCATGTCTCACGCGGCCATAAAATCTACTGTGAATACATACCCGCTCCATTCCTTTGATATCCAAGCTGCGTTTGTACCTGCTGCTCACCTCAATAGCAAAAGATGACATGTACAATAGTAACATGTTGGCTGCTAAGTGGCTGTTTACCTTCAGAGAGAGCACAGTGCTGGCCAAGTTGGTTCTCTGGATCTCTGGCACGTTGGTTGTCAACATCTCGTCTCTGTAGGCTCTCTCCGTGTAGAGCCTGTAACACTTCCCTGGGCCTGTTCTGCCGGCTCGCCCTGCCCTCTGCTTGGCCTGGGCCTGAAATTGAATTGCTTCCAATTAAACATGCTAAATATAAAAGGTAACATTTGGTATTCTTCTTCTGCAATATCAAGCACATAACAATATTATACCTGTGAGATGGGAGTCACCACCAGCTGGTCGATGCCAGTCTTAGAGTTGTAGACTTTTTGCTTGACAAAACCAGGGTCCACTACGTAATAGATTCCATCAATGGTCAGAGATGTCTCTGCAATATTTGTGGCAATGACCACCTAGGGGGAAAATAAAAATATTTCACATTTGCTCCAAACATATATAAATTAAGATTGTTTTTTGTGCCATGATCACTGCCTATTAAACTCAGCCTGGGCCTACTCTTGTTAATTTTACCACCATACACAGAGACTGAATAGTTTGCAGGACATTTCATACAAAAAAAAAGGAGACCGTTTATATCAGTAATGCAGAAAGATAGCCAAGATAGCAATGAAATCATTTCCAGAACTAGCATATTTTTTGGACTACCATGCATTAAACATAGACCATAAACACATACAGGCCATTTTACAATGCAATGGAATAGATACGTCTATTTTCCAATATGTTTGGGAGATGTTAAATGTGGGGACCTTTCTGCTTCCTGGGGGTGCAGGGTCAAATATCCTGGTCTGCATCTCACTGGGCAGAGCAGAATAAACTGGCAGAATAATCAGTTCAGGAACATCAGGCCCCAGTGACTTCATTCTCTCATACAGGATCTCGCAGGCGGTGTCGATCTCTTCCTGTCCAGTTAGAAACACCAGGACGTCCCCTGGACAGAGATTTGGAAAGAGAGTTTAACATGGACTGATGTTAGAGTCTACTGGTGAAAAGAACACCTGTGTGTTTAAGATTTTAAAAATCATACCTGGAGGTTCAGTCAGATGAATCTGCATGACTGTGATGAGACTGGCATCCAGGTAGTCTGTCTCAGGTTCTTTGGTGTAGAGAACCTCAACCGGATAAGTTCTTCCAGGGATGGTGAAGATGGGTGCTTCATAGAAATACTGAGAGAACTTCACAGCATCCAGTGTAGCTGATGTTACAATCAGCTTCATGTCTGTGCGTTTCTGCACAGTCTGAGACAGACAAAAAAAAAAATACTCAGCGTTTCCTTTTTTTAAA